TAAAATGGAAGTCTGATGGTATTGTGCTGCCATCCAAAAGGCCAGTTGTTCTAGTTCACCAACCATTCCACAGAGGAAAATGGCTATGAACCTACTCCCATAAAGATTTACAGCCTGGGAAATGGTATGGAATGTCTCCATGGGTCAGAATCAGCTCAACAGCTGTGAAGAGGGGGGTTTGATAAAGATTTTACTTGAAAGACACCCTTAGTTTGTAAGATAGTATAATGATGGGACAGCAATGTCAGGACTCAGCTGAAGACTCTAATTGATTGAGCGAACATTCCTGGGAACTGCTGTATGTTCTACTAACACCTGGGCTAAGAACAGTGTGATGGAGTGCTGTAACTTTCTCCCTCCACCCCAGTATTGCTGAGATTGTTGCCACTAAGTAAACTTTCATTAGCTCATCGTTCACAACAGTTGTTTAGAGGAACAAATCAAACCAGAATTGAAATTGTGCCCAAGAAAATATTCTCTGAGGGTCATTGTTTGCTAAACACAGAGAATTAGTAATTTTTGGTCCAAGATATTCACAAATGAAGAGCACTGGGTTTATCAAATATCTTCTGAGAAGGAATAATTCTGTTGTCTTCAACAGTTGATACAAAACTTGTTGATACACAGTGCTTCTGTATATCAGAAATCATGAACGAAAAAGCAAAGCACACCAGGAGACTGTATCTACAGCCTAGAGAGACAACGCACTGGTATCCTGAGTACTGAACTCCTGCAGAAAATAAAGCTAAGACAAATAACAACGAAGGATATAATATAAAATAGACTAAAGAGGCTGTTGTTAGGTTCTGTTGAATCAACTGTTGTAACTCAGCAACCCTGTGAATAATAGATTGAAATTTTACCCTGTCCTGGGCCATTCTCTTGATTTCTGACCTGCTTGCACCAGTTTTTACAGTCACTGTATCAGTCCATCTCATTGAAAGTTGCCCTTTCTCCATCTGTCACTAAAATGATGTCTTATCCAAGGACTGGGCTCCATCCTGATAGCATGCTCCAGGTACGTGAGGTGAAGTTTCTCCATAGCTGCCTAAAGGGAGTATCCTGGTTTCACTTCATCCACAATAGATATATTTGTTTGTTCTTTTGACAGTCCATGAGATAGTATTCTTTGCCAGTACCACAGTTCAAAGGCCTCAGTTCTTCTTCTGTCATCTTTACTCATTGTCCAAGTTTCAGGTACTTAAGAAACAATTAAAAATACGATGGCTTACTTAGGTCAGGTTATCTCAGGGTCTAAACTGATGGCCTTTTGGAGAGGTCCCTGACAGCAGACTTTTCCTAGTGCAGCATGCCTTCCAATTTCTTGATTGCTGCTACCATAACTGTTGATTATGTATATGGGTAAACTGAGATAATTCACAATTTTGATGTTTATCTATAATGATGTTGCTTCTTGGCCCAGTGGTGAGGAGTTTTGTTTCCTTGATGTTGAGATGTAATTCATATTGAAGGCTGCATTTTCTGATCTTCTACTTGAAGTCAGCTCTTCAAGTCTTCTTCACTCTCTGCAAGCGAGGTTGTGTCATCTGTGTAAGGCAGATTGTAGATGAATCCTCCTCTAAGCTTTACACCACATCCTTCTTCATAGACTCTAGCTACTCAAGGTATTTGCTTGGCATACAGTTTGAATAGGTATGCAGAAAGGATACAATCTTGCAAACACCTTTTTTTAAAAATACTGGTTTATTTACAAAGTTCAAGTACATTGGTTTTCACACCAGATTTTTCCCATTTCCTTCACTGCCCCTCGATCAAATAGCACAACCGTATGATTAACACCCCCACCCCACCCATCCTAAACCCTCTGCTTCCATTCCCTCACCTCCGCCAGATTCTCATTCTACAATACTAGTTTTATACAGTATTTGTCCTTATGGGACTGAGTTAGTTCACTCAGTATAATGCTCTTCAGCCCCTCCCAAGTTGGGTAGTAATTTACAGAATCATTGCTCTGGCATGCTGCCATATTCCATTGTGCAAATATACCATAATTTTTCAATCCATTCAATTGTAGTTGGACATCTGGGCTGTTTCCATGCTCTTGCGATGGTGAACAACACTGCTGTGAACATTGGTGTACAAGTCTCCATTTGTGCCTCAGTTCTCATTTTCTTAGTATATATTCCAAGCAGTGGAATAGCTGGGTCATATGGAATTTCTATGTTCAGCTTTTTGAGAAAACACCAAACTTCCTTCCAGAATGGTTGTACCATTTTCCAATCCCACCAGCAATCCACCAATGCAAACATCTTTCTTGATTTTAACCCAAAGTTTAGGAGTGGAGACAACAATTGGACTATGAAGAAGGAAGAGGAACTAGAAGAAGAAAGTTGGATAACTAGTAGATACATGAGAAAATACTCACCTTCACTTGAAATCAAGGAGCAAATTAAAAAATTAAAGGTTAACAACTTTAGTGTTAACAAAGATGTTGAGCAATGGAAAATTCTACCAGTGATATTAGTGTAAATTGGTTCAGTATGGTTAATTATCCAGCAAGTCCACTCTATGTATACTAGAGGTGATGCTTTCATATACCCATAAATGGATGCATAGAAAATGTTCATGGTGATGAAGATCATGTTAGTCAGATATTGAAAACAATAACAATGTGCTTGAGGAGTAGCAAAATGAATGTCAGTTCACTCCCTGCAATACTGTAGGGCAGTGAGAATGAATGAATTACATTTATTGACATGCATAAATCTGAAAATGTGATTTGTGTGGGAAAAGAAAAGTTACAGAATGATGTGTATAATGTTAGCATAAGACTGCCTTATGTAATTCTCAGAATACCAAACAATACAAGTTCTTGATTTTCAACGTTTTCAGATGTAGAGAAGGCGTGGAAAAGAAATGCCAAATTCAGAGGGGAGAAAGGAAATGACATGGTAGATGACTTCAAATGTGTCTATCTCATTGGTTATGTCTCTGTTTGTTGAAATTGAAATAACTTTAAACATAAAGCCTTGCTTTTCCTTTGGTATATACAATAAAAGAATTATTACAACGGAACAATTCTACTTTTACCCTCTAAATGCCTCTTTCTCACACAATACCCTCCTAAAGGCCTAGATTTGCACTTGTTATTTACCCTCCATTTGTAATCTCTTTCAGCGGTGTCTAACTTCTGCTTATGCCCTCCAATCTGTAATTATTTCTAGCACAAAAGTCCGTGGAGAAATCTTGACACGCTGTATGCTTTGCTTTCAGAATTTATGTGCTATGGAGCAATTTCATTTTCCCTTTTACAGTTAGAATTTAGCTTGGACCTGTGGTGCTTAATGGGTTTTAAAGCATTGTACTTATGAGGGCTGCAAATGAGTTTCTCCTTTTTACTGACTGTGACACAAGAGCTTCTGCTTCCTCTCTGATTCTGGAAGATGTCATATTGTTGTCCATGAAATAGGTGACAGATGAGGTGAGAAGTTCATTGTGTTGCTAAAAAAAAATCTGTGGAAAGATATCTTTATACCTTTGCCACCCACCTCTTTCCCCTATTGCAAGAATATTAACAGTGAATGTAAGTGAGGTTAATTAAATTCTGTTCTTGATTTGTTTAAAATTTACCTTGTTCTCAAAAAGCATAAACAACATCACAAGGTAAACTGACAAGACCCAAGTATATAGAAAATGAATATATGTCTCATAAGATATTGTACTTTCACACTTAAAGTTGATACTGTTACTTTATTCTTATTTCTATTGAATTTGAACCAACTTATAGCAGACCCTCCATTGGGTTTCTGAGACTGTAAACAAGAGATTCCTCATCGCTATCCATGGGGCCCCTGGGAAGTTAGAACTGCTAGAGAGGCGCCACCTTTGTGTGAGCAGTGCAACTTCCCATAGACCACACCACCAGAGCTCCCTACAAGATGAGAAGCACCAACTGTCATGCTAACTTTTCACATTCCTTAATATCTCCACGGCTTTGTTTCCAACACATTTTGGTTTTAGTTTTGCAATAGATGAAAAATAATGTGGGACTTATTATAAAACTCATACAATGCCATAGGAAGATGATGGGAACAGATGCCAGGCCTACAAGAGCCAGGGCAAGGGTTCAGAATGGGGGTCAGGAGGGGAATAAGCCAGATAATGAGTATTAACTAAACAATCAATCACCATCCAGTAAAGATAGTACTTTTAGAGATACTAATCTAAAGGAGGGAACAATCAGTACTAAGAGACAAGTTTTTAAAACATAAAACACAGTGTCCTAATTCCTGCAGTGTTTTCCAAAATCCCAAAGTAATCTTTTTTCCTCTTTCAATGATCTGAGTGACAGTTTACAAAGTATATTGAATTTTTTCAATAAATTGTTCATACATATTTTGTTCCAGAACATTAATTACAATATACACAATGTCTGATAGTCCATTCATTGCCCTTTCCCTCATCTATCTTAATAAAAGTTCAGTTAATTAATTTTCAGCTACTCCCCATTCCTTCCCCCTCACCTCATGTCTCCTCCCTAGTAACCATGCATTTCCATGTTCTTATAGTCTAACTTTAACCTTCAGTGATAAAATATTGAACTTCAATGTGTAATCCATGCTCTGGCTGTAATTGGCCACATCATTGTGCCACAGTTGTCACCCACTTCCCATCAAATTTATCCTTGGATAATGTGTTTTATATATACGTAATAAATTATGTGTACATGTATAATTTATGTCATTTTATCCTCGCGCTCAGAAGGTGATTTTCAGAAGTCACAAGGGAAATTACCAGAAGGATAAAAAGAAGAAAAGAATTTAGATAATCTGTAAATCTGGCCTAATTCCCAAACCTGTGATTTACATTTCCAGCTTCAAAAGGCTGTTGCTGAATGAAATTTCAGTTGCTATTTTTGTTCCTCTTAGCAAAAGCTGGATGATGAATAAAAGAAAGGTGCACTGGTGTTATATTTGCATTCATGATCACACGTCAGCTCATTTCCTTACTAACTGGAATATGTGTTGGTTTAACTCTAGGGACACGACAGTGCAAACCCTTACTCTTCAGCCTTCTGTTAAGGATGGACTTATTGTGTATGAAGACTCGCCTTTGGTTAGTACTCCAACAATATGACTATTTTCAGCTTCAACTTGAGAATGATAGCTATATTTCAGCTTTCATGGGGGAAATTTCTCATAAAGTATAACTGGAACGTATTTGCTCATTTATCATTATGAGAGCCAATATTTAAATGTGGATTATTGTGAAAAGAGAGTATTTTCTTTTGTCTCTCTCTAAAGTGAGAGATTCATGCAATGATAGAAGTTTTCTTTTGGCTTTTGGTGGGGGTTTTTTGCATTCCACAATGTAAAAAGAAAAACGTTTGCTTTTGTTTTCAAATGTATAAATTGAAATTAGGTAGCATTTATATTGGTCAACTAGGAAGGTTCCCTCCTTAACTCCCCACATAAAATGCAGGGAAATCCTGAGCCCCCAAGGATTTTCCTCTGGCAGAGAATCTCTTTACAGTAAGCAGCCAAGTTAACGTGGGAACGTTGGTGGTCTCTGCACCTTAGAGCCTTCCTGCTTGATGTTGGACCCTACGTTACCTAAACAAGGTTTTAAAAATGAGCTGAGAACAGAAGCTGTACTTTTTCTTTCACTATTATTTCAGTTTATTGTTAGCATAAAATACTCTATATCAGTTGCTTTAGATTGTCGGATAAAATACACGCAATAGAATCACCTATTTTTCATCTTTATTTACATAAGATTACTCCCCTGAGCAATCAGATAATTTTCTATAACCCACTTTTTTTATAGTAGTAGAAATTTTATTTAGTATTTTTTATTGTTCATTCATTCATGCACTTCCCTCCCTCCCGCACTCCCAGCAACCTCCCTTGTCAGAACTATTAATTCTTATACACTTGGTTTCTAATTGTCCATTCCTTTCAGAATGTCCTTCCTCTCACTTATTCCAGTGCAGTATCTGTTATCTAGAAAGGCCACTTTAGATTATGAACTATCTAAAGCAAAATCTTTTGTTTTTACATTTAAATCTGATGAATATTCCCTCCAATTTACTCCTAGAAAAAGATTTTTAAAATTTCTTTCTTCTTTCTTTTCTCTTTCTTCATTTTTTTAAATGTCACCAATCAGCTAAGACCCAGGACTCTTTCTTATTTCCTACCCTCTTCTCCTCTTTAGTGGTAAGGAATTACACTGCCAGGTCATAAGGCAAGAGATGTGAATCCACCAGCAGCTCTGAGAGAGGAAGATGTGCAGTCTTCTCCTGTATAGTTCATTGCCTCTGAAAACCCATTTGAGGGTCAGCTATGAGTCAGTTACAGCTCAGTGATAACAGCCACCTCTCATCCAAGCAGTGGTTAAGACTATAGATGCTGCCTCTACAAAACACTATTAGTCTAATTCTTTTATTGTGTGTGGGGTTTTTTGGGTTTTTTTTTTAGTTTTTTCTTTTCTTTTTTTTTTAAAAAAAAAAACCCTCTTTGTTTTTTCCAATACTTTGGTTTGGCTTTTTAGGCACCTCCCTGCCACTTCTCAACCAAAGTACTGTAATAATCATCTTTCAGTCCATTCTGCACATTGCTACCAGATAAACATCCCAAAATGTAGCTCCCAGCTATTTCTGTTATATTTGAACTCACACATTCTTGATTGTACTCTATTACTTAATGAGGCGAAAGCCATGATGGTGCAGTGGGTAAGTGTTTGGCTACTAACTAAAAGTGTGACCTCGGGGCTGACACACACATACCATCTACATAGCAGGACTGCTGGTGTTCTGCTCCCCTAACAGATACATCCTAGAAACCCCTGAGGCACTTCGCCTTTGTCACATGGGATCTTTATGGGTTGAAATAGACTCAACAGCACCCCACAGCAGCAACTTACTGAGGTCGCATCTCTGTGGGGGGGTCTTGCAGCCAAGTCCCTAGGAATTGAGACTTACTCTACTTTTGCATTCCCTTTATCCCTGTTTTCTTACATATAACCCCTTCTTCAGCCAAAGGAACCACTCATACTTCCTCTTCCCTAAAAATGCTCAGTGCTTCCTGAGTTTGGCAGTTAATCCACTTTTTCCTAAAGACTCATCTCTTTACCACCATCTATTTCTTGCTGTTAAAATTCAATACTCTTTAAAAAAAAAAAAAGAGGAAAAAATCCAGTACTCTTTTAAGAGTGGTAATGAATGATACCCACAATTGTATCTGATATCCACAATTAATTGTGCTGGTCACTTCTCTTAGCCCCTGTTTTTTCTTTTTCTTTTCTTTTTTTGCCCTTGTTTTAAACATTACCTACTTGTGTATGAAATTTAATTGTGCATCACCACTAGAAGAATAATACAGGTATTACAAAGACTTCTATAAAGTTACTGGGTTTCATGACTCCATGAAGCTGTGATGGAGAGAAATTTTATTTCTAGCTCCACCATAGACTTTGTTTTTGTGATGTACACATGACAAATAAAACTAAGCAGTAAGTGATGACCTTTTAGACACAGTTGTTTCACTCTTGTTGATGATAAATGTTCTGTCTTCAAAGGTTAAAGCCGTAAAGCTGGGTCATGTTCTGGTAGTAGATGAGGCAGACAAGGCACCAACAAATGTCACCTGTATTTTAAAAACTCTAGTAGAAAATGGAGAAATGATTCTAGCAGATGGAAGACGCATTGTTGCAAGTAAGTATAAAATGGGCAACTTTTTCCTTCAATACGTTAAAATGTAACCTCTCTGGAAACAAACCACAGACTTAGCCTTCTAATTGTACATAAGCAACTAGCCCAACTTCAGTGTTTCTTCTTCAACAGTCTGTATTGACAATTATCTATAAAAACCAATACTTTTGAATCGGGCTTTGTCAGCATCCTTTTTAATAGCCAGAGAACATCTATTAAAATTTCAGTAGTAGTCATAGAACAGATTAGCTTCATATTTTTATATTTAGAAAATACCAGCACACTGTCCTGATTACATTCACCTATCCATTATTCAAATGATTTCTTTTTTCTTGCTGTCTATATTTTTAAAGTTGTATTTATGTTAAAATATATTCATAATACAAATAAACTAATAAATAAAATTTAATATTATGACATTTTATAGTATATAATGCATATGTGTACCTTTGTATGCATGTGTATGTGTGGTTATTTATACACCTGGCAAGAAGCTACCCTGCAATCCCACAGAAACAAGGTTTGAATCCACCAGTGGTTCCACAGGGGAAACACCTGCCTCTGAAAACTCATTGGACAGTCAGCTATGGGCTAGTTCTCTTTGTACACAACAACAACAATGTACTTAAAAACATTATGCATACATATAACACTTCAGAAGACCAGAAGAAGTTACACTTGAATCATCCTCTGCTTTGAATTTTATTTTGTTGTTGTTACAGAAAATGTAGATAGAATTCTGTTTGCACTTTTTAGAAGGATCATGAAGACTGTGAAATGCAAAGGAAGAAGGAGTTGCTCAAACTTAACTGCATTTATGAGTGATTATCTCTTAGTAATTCTCCACATTATCTGTTACATTTCTTAAAATTAGTCTAGAAAAAACAAGTCATAATTTTAAAAGTCAAGTGTCATTGTAGTGACAGTTTAAATCCAAGAGACAACCATTTTTTCTTTTTTTCAAACCTTTTTTGGAACATGGTTTCATAAACCATCACTTCTAGAGCTGCTTTTTTATCTCCTTTGTTTTACTTTCTTATTTTTACTTCTGTTTTAATGACAGTTTTTTCCTTTCTCTTTCTTTTCTTTTTTTCTTCTGTTTGTTTGGGTTGGGTTGGTTTTATTTCTCCCCTTTTCTGCCTTTATTACTTGTCACAACTAAAATTAATGTGGATCAGACATTAAATCTAGTGGCTGGGGGAAAACCCACAAAACAAACAAACAAACAAACAAAAAACCCCACTCTTGAATCTAGTAGCATCTGAATATGTGACCAGTTGAAGGGGGGTTTTTTGGGTTTGTTTTTGGTTTGTTGGGGGGTTTTTTGTTTGTTTGGTTTTGATGCTATAAAATGGCAAAGTAGGTGTTTGCAGACTTATTACAAATAAAAAGTCTTGGTTTTCCACACCTGTCACTTTAAAGATGGATAGCCAGCAACTAGGATTTAAATAAGACCAAATGGAAAGTGTTTCTTATAAAAAATCCAACATGAAGTAAAGGTTTTTCTTTGTTGGGTTTTTTTTTTACTATGAAGTCTATCTGAAATATATATCAGTAACATCACCATTCCTTAATATCATAAGCAGTTGAATGTTATTTTTATTATATAGAAAAGTCTCACCAAGAGTCTTTTCCTCCAGATCATCTGGTAAAAATTAAAGAAAATATTAATTATCCCTGGTTTATCCTTTGTTCTGAAATTGTGCTTATGGTTTTATTTGTTTGTTTTGGAATCACATCCACAGTCCAGGTGCAATGTATGACAAAATTTTGATGTTTGCTTTTTTAGATGCACATTAAATTAAGGTGAAAATGCAGCTTTCTATACAAGTTGGTATCTGTTTTATCAATCTTTTTTACAAATAATTGAGCAATGTGATATGTATGTTATTTTAATGACTAACTTGATATTCTTGAGACTAAAGAATAAATATCAAAAATTTTGTTTTTCAGATTCTGCTAATGTGGATGGAAGAGAAAATGTTGTGGTGATTCATCCGGATTTTAGGATGATTGTTCTAGCCAACAGGCCTGGATTTCCTTTCCTAGGCAATGATTTCTTCAGTACATTAGGTAAAAACAATAATGATAATAATAGCAACAACAACAATAACTGTAACACTATTAGTAGCAATGCTATAATGGCTATGTCACTGAATCCTTACCATGGACTATGTCATCATCAGTACCATCTTGTATTTGTTGTCCTGATGTCAGACAAGGAGAGAATTTGATATGCAGAGAGATTGAACATTAGCTAACACGTGGTGAAGCTGAGATTACTATTAAATCTATCTGCTTCCAGAAGCTGTGTTTATGAAGTATTGCAGTGTACTTTGCTGCTTAGAGCTCTTAAAATATAACGTAATAAACTCAGCCTTGTTTAGTCATACCTAGCGCATAGCAACCCTATAGGACAGAGTAGAAGTGGCCCATGGGATTTCCAAGGCTATAAATCTTTTTTCCCAGTGAGCAGCTGATGGGTTCGAGTTACCAGCCTTTGGGTTAGCAACCAAGCTCTTAACCACTAAGCCAGCAAGACTCCTTAAAACTTACTATTGTTCTTGTTGTGGACCGTTGAATTGGAACTAACCCATAGCTGACCCTCCAGGGATTTTCAAGGCAGTTAATGGCATGGGAGGAGATTGCCCATCCTTCTCCCACGGAGCAGCTTTTGGATTTGAATTGCATGCCTTTGGGATTGAAGCACAGCTTCTTACTACATGTGCAGATATTTTCAAACCCCTTTACTATAAAAAGAATTGAAGTCAACTGCAGGGAGACTGATTCACATTTATTAAAGAGATCCCACAATAAACTTAATCGCCAGGAGCCTTTCACAAGGCTTCATCATCTCTAAGGTATATAAGGAACTCTGGACTCTAATATTCTTTATACTAGGCCTGTTCTCTTAGTCTGACCTCAAAACCCCTAGATCTATTTATTTATCAACAAGAAAGTATTTATCCTTATATATTAATCCAGTCTGGTGGTCAAGTCTGTAGTGTGCTCTGCTGCTGACCAAAAGGCCGCTCATCTCTGGCAGTTCAGATTCGCCATTGTCTCCATTGGAGAGAGATGGGCAATTACCTCCTGTTCAGACTTAGAGCCTTGGAAACTGGATGGAGGGCCACTGGGAGTTAGAGCTGACTCAACAAGCAGTAGTGACTAAGAGATTTATTATCCAGCTCAATTACCGTCTTTTTCAGTAAGAGTATAAAGTGTTATAATGTCAAGAACTTAAATGAAAATTATTATTGATGATAGTGATAAGAAATATAATAAACATTGAGTCCTTAAACACTGCTTTAAGCACCTCACATGAATTAAATTCCTTGATCTTGTCAACAGCCCTTCATTTTGCAGAGGAGGTAATTTAAGATGTAGACAGATTAAGTAATTTGACCAAGATTACAAATTTAATAAGTAACAGAGTACTTTTTCATATCAAAATTGATGGCTCCCAAATCTCTACCATTTACCATTTCATGAAACTGTCTTAAGGAATATAGAGTCTAGGTACACAGACAACATAGGGGTATGTAAAACAAACAGGACCACAGTTACCCACTTGTGTACCTGAAAGAAATCAGAGGAGCCAGGGTTTCATTGGGTGTAGATGTTTGAATTTCATATTTTTGAATGGGTAATATAATCCTATGGTTTATGAAAACTCAATATAAATGTTCTATATCTGATTATCTGATCCATTTGCCCAGTTCAAAACCTCGTTGATTATCTTCCCTTGCTGTATTTTATGCTGCTGACTTCCAGCACCTTTCAGGTATTTTCCTGGTTTTCTTCTTTTTTCCTGACTGCTCCTCTTTTGTTGAATCCTTTCTAGAGAGCCACAGAGCCCAAGCCCAGGTCTTCTTATATCTGTCTTTACTCACTTCTTTGGTAGGATCAGAGAGTGTCATGTTTGGTTATGCAATTTGTATGCCAATCATTGTGGTATTTTTATCTGTCCCTGAGCATATCCATATGCATAGCCAACTGTTTAGTGAACATGTGTCTTACATTTAACATGTTATAACTAAATTCTTGATCTTCTTTTATGAACCTGTTCAACACAGTCTCTTTATTAAAAATTATATTCGTTTTGCTTTTGAGAGTTTACACAGTATAACATACACCAATGTTGCCATTTCTACCTATGCAGTTTCATGACATTGATTATGTCCTTTGTTGTACCTGCATCATCACCCTCCATTTCTGATTTGTTCCTTCCTCATTATCATACTCATTGCCCACCCTCTTGTCATATCTCATTTGTTATCTATTTGACTTTACTAGATAGTTCTTAAAAGAACATAATACTCACACAGGCTTATTTCCTAATTAAGCCAGTAGTCTAGTGATTTTTTATTTTGATTGTTTGATTTTTAAGATGATTTTATGGGATTACTTTTGGTTTAAATTTAAAGAGTAGCTCAGAGGTTCTTCCATCATTCATGGCTCTGCAAAGTCTGGAGTCTGTGGTGGTTTGAAATTCAGTCCTGCATTTTCATCTTTTGATTAAGATTCTTTTATGGAATCCTTGATCAAAATGTTCAGTAACCATATCTTTTTCATCTAAATTGATGGTAGAAACTCCATGTTTCTCTTCCAGAAACCTTAGACTCACTCTTGTCTTCTTTTTTCCTCTTGTATTCCATTCCATCTATTAAGCAATTTTATTGGCACATAGAAGATGTTACTTAATTATTTGATGAATAAATGACTGGTCTATAGTGTATTTTATATTAGTGTTAAATTTTATTTTCAGGGGAAAAAGGCAGAAATGGTTTTTCACATTTGTATTTGAACAGATTTATTCTGTAGGATATAAGTGTGAAGACATAGTACCTCGCTTCTTTTATTAATATATTTTACCTAATAAAATATTTAAGCCTGGAAGCAGGAGCGGCATCCACTTCCAAAATGGCTTGCCTCCGTAAACTCTATGTACTAACAGTGCTCAGGCCTTTCCTTGATAGGGTCTCTGTGAGTCGTCTACGACTCAATGGCCCCTAACAACAATAACAATAACAACAATAACAACAATGACAGAGAGAGAGCTACGCTGGCCTAGTGGAAAGAAAGTTATGCTACCAAGCCGTAAGTGAAGTGGGTGATTTTAATCTGTGGCCCTCAGGCCAGGTTCAAATTGTTTTTCTGTCAAACATTTTTCTAGGTGGTATTGCACTGGTCTGTGCGTTGCTGTACAGAGGTAGCTTGTGGTTTCTGCTATGCTGAACACTGTGACACTGATGTGCCAGTCATGGTAATGGGTATCCATGGTGGACAGTGTTGGCTGGAGCTTCCCAACTAAAACAAACCTGAAAGCAGGAGCAGCATCCACTTCTGAAATGGCTTGCCTCTGGAAACTCTATGTACAAACAGTGCTCAGGCCTTTTGTTCATAGGGTCGCTATGAGTCATCTACGACTCAGCACCTAACAATAACAACAATAAAATATCTGTCCAAATGGTTTATAATGCCACATTAGAACTTAGTTATCTGACTAAATACCCTCTTTTGGGAAATCTATAGATAAAGCAGATCTACTTTTTAAATATTCTTTTGGTCTTCAGTCTCTTAGATCAGTAGAATTATATAAACTTTTTTTTTTTTTTTTGGAGACAAAATGGTTTCTTGGGAACATGTTCCATCCACTCCTTCTACAACATAAGCCAGAAAATTCAAATGCAGCATTTACATTTGACAACCAGAGACCTCCAAGCGCCAAAGGAGAAGCTAAAAAATTGGCACAAATACCAATGAGAAATAGCCATAAAGCCAAAATGTGACTGAGGAGAAAGAGCAGAGCTTCACCCCATTGCCTCTCCATTCTGAGAAAGAAGGAACACACATGCATAATGTGAAGTTAGTCTTGTGGATTTCCACTGAACTTTCAGATTTATACAGATTAGTAATAAACTTTTTAATTAAATATTTTAGCAGTTTTATTGAAATAGCATTTGCTTACAACAAATTATAAATTGCATATGTGCATACCTGAGAAAGCATCACTACAGGTAAGATAATGAACCTGTCCATCACTTGAAAAAAATCTTCTGATACCCTTTTGTGATCCTCCCCTTCTGCCCTTCTGTGCCATCCTTCAAGCAACCACTGATCTGCTTTTGTTATCATTTTAACTTTTTTTATGTAAATAGAATAGTATAGCATACACTCCTTTTTTTGTCTGGTTTCTTTTACTCAGCATGATTATTTTGAGATTTGTTCATTTTGTTGTATATAGCAATAGTTCGTTCACTTTGGTTGCTAAATAGTGTTTCATTGTATGGATATACTGAAACTTCTTCACACACCTATTTCTGGATTATACTTCTCAGCTGTCCCCTGGACTGTCAAAAGAACAAGGAGATATGTCTTGGAGAAGGTGCAGCCATAGTGCTCCTTGGGACAAAGATGATGAAGCATTGTCTCATACATTTTGGGCATGTCGCTAAGAAATTGTTCCTTGGAGAGGGACATCATACTTGGAAAAGTGGAGGGATAGTGAAAGAGAGGAAAACCCTCAACTAGGTGGATTGACACAGTGACTGCAGGAATGGCCTCAAGACAGGGTTCAGATCTGTTGTTCATAGGGTTACTATGACTCGTACTTGACTCAGTGCATTTAACAACAGCAACAACAATACAAATAAAGCCTCTGTGAGCACTCACACATCATTCTTGGTTTGGACTTATGTTTTCTGTTCTCTTGGGTAAATATCTAGTAGTGGAATGTCAGGGTCACTTGGTAAGCTTGTGCTTAATACTTTTAGGAAATGACCAACCTGTTCCCACAGTAGTAGTTTTATTTACAATCCCAACAGCAGTGTATGAACATTTTAGTTCATGAGAGGTTCACTTCTGTTTTGAGAATAGGTTCTATTTTTCTAATACATTTTCGGTTAGCTAAATTACACAAGAAATAATTTGTTTCTAAGTTTATTTTCCTTCTCTTTAAGATAGGCAACGTCTCTTCAGATTTACTTTGCAAAAGCAAATGCACAATATTCTGGCAATATAAATTGTTGAGAATGTGATAACACTAATTTCTCCTTCTTAGTATCATAAAGAAAAATTTATCCAAAGTAAACTCTGAAACTCATTGCCATCATGTTGGAACTGACTTACAGCTAACCCTCCAACAGATTTCCAGTACTTTAAATAGCACAGGAGTTGATTGCTCATCTTTCTTGCAAGATCTTCTAGTAGATTCAAGTGTCCAGAGAGATGCCATCTTCAGGCTTCCTGTGCAATGCCCTGTGGACTAGGCCACCAGAGCTCCTTTAGCTGAAGTGGTGGTGTTTGAAGCTGTCAAGTCAGAACCCACTTACAGCTAACCCTTCAGCATGTTGCAGAGGCTGTAAATTCATGGGAGTTCTTTGTGCCTCTTTCTTCCACAGAGCCCTGGTGGATTAGAACTATGCGCCTTTGGATTGGCAGCAAAGCTCCTTAGCACTAAACTACCAGAGCTCACCTACGTGAAATAGCTGTATATAATTTCTGAGGATTTTAAAGATTTGCTAATGTTAAAATTATGGTCTCCAAACTATATGAATAGTATTTTCTCATCAGTGGAAAAATAATAAATCATCAAAACTACATATACGTGTGTGTGTGTGTGTGTGTGTGTGTGTGTGTATTTAATTACGGATACATGTTTGGAGCTATGGTGGCATAGTTTGCAAAGAATTGCTAACCCAAAAATGACACCTCTCTGGTGGTTCAAATCCACCACCCACTTCATGGGTGACAGTTAGGCAATGTTAACCGTTGGGATTTGCCACCTCAGCTGCTCTACAGGAGAAGGATGGACAGTCTTCTCCTGTGCAATTAACTGCCTCTATCTCCAAAGTACTAAAGAGCAAATCTCCAAAGTACTAAAGAGCAATGGTGTCTCTCTGGAGACCAAGGTGCATATGATACAGGCCATAGTCTTTGCAATCACTTGTTATGCATCAGAGAGTTGGACAATGACTAAGGAGGATAGAAGGAGAATTGATGCCTTTGAGCTGTGGTGCTGGAGAAGAGTATTTAGGGTACCATGGACTACTAGGAAAACAAACAGATTCATACTGGAAAGGGTTAAACTGGGCAGCTCCTTGGAGGCAAGGATTCTGAGGCTCCGTCTAACATACTTTGGACATGTTGTAAGGAGGTACTGGTCCTTGGAGAGGGACATTATGCTTGGGAGGGTGGAGGGACAGTGCAGGAGGGGAAGGCCCTTTATGAGGTGGATTGATTCAGTGACTGGGGTAATCACGATGGGTGTGTTGGAGGCAGTGCGATTGGCATAGGACAGAGCGGAATTTAGGGCTGTTGTACATAGGGACACTATGAGTTGCAAGCGACTCGACGGCACATAACAACAACAACAATGTAAACCCACTGGAGGGGCAGCTATGGATAGGTTCCAACTCAGTGGTACAGAACAACAAAAACGTGATGGAGCTATGAGTCAGTTTCGCCTCGAAAGCAATGAGGGAGGGTTGTGTTTTTTGTTGTTTTTTTTTTTTGCTTCTTAATACATATTTGGAAGAATAAACATCCTGACCTTTTAACACTGGGTGGTGCCTGTTGGAAGACCTAAAGAAGGCTCACCCTCTTTGCTTCTTGTACTTGAGTATCTCCCAGTCAACATGTGTTCAAGTATGATGTAATTTTTACACAGAAAAACTAAATCCATGCAGAATAAGCCACACATCATTCAGGCATCTTTTCTTTTGCTCTGGTAGTTTCCTTTCTTTTCTGCATCATGCTGTCACTGAATATATGGGGGGTTGATGAGTTATTGTTGTTGTTGTTGTGTACTGTTGAGTCAGAACCAACTCATAGCTGAGCCTCCTGCAGGTGTTCAGAGGCAGTTAATCACCTGGGACGAGATTACCCATCTTTCTTCTGTGGAACAGCTGGTGGATTCAAACTACATTCATTTGGGATGGCCCTTACCATGGGTTACTTGCATGATTAAAGAATCTTTTTTCTTTTTCAGGTGATATTTTTAGCTGCCATGCAGTTGATAATCCCAAACCCCAGTCAGAGCTTGAGATGCTCAGACAATATGGACCAAATGTGCCAGAACCAATTCTTCAGAAGCTTGTGGCTGCCTTTGGAGAGTTGAGGAGCTTGGCTGACCAAGGGACTATTAACTATCCTTATTCTACCAGAGAAGTTGTCAACATAGTCAAGCATTTACAGGTATGTATGTATGTATGTAAAGTATTTGAAGATCAATCTGGATTTCTCAGTCTGTGCCAGTCCACTAGGCCTTTCAATTTCTATAGATATAATAGTGATACGGATGGTGTGAAAGACTTGTGATCTAAACTATAAATCTGAAAGGCCAATGAACTTTATCTGCTCATGACTGTTACTAAAGAGCTAGAACCTTTAGTACAGTTTGGTTTTGAGAGTTGGGTTTTTTCCTGGGGGAGGGGTTTGTGGTGGAAGTGGAGTTTAGTGAGAGATTAAGGAAACTTTCCTATTCTATTGTTTTACTTTTTACAAGAACCATATGGAATTTGTGTAAAAACTATTTTCTGTTTGAAAGCCAAAGATTTGAAGATAAAAGCCAAGTAGGAATAGTGGTCTTAAATATATAGTTGTAAATATTGCAAAGAAAATATAAAAGGTGCCATAACTGTGTAGGAGAATGATACTCCTTAGGGTCCTGTGCAGAATATTATCTGCCTTGGTAAAGAAAAAGAAAACACACATGTAAATTCTACTCTTGGTAAAGAAAACATACCGGTACATTATATGGCATATTTCAAGCTAACATTCACTTTAATCACATTAACTTCTGGCCCATCCCCAACTCTCCAAGAAAAACCAAGGAAGAAAAATAGAAAGTTTTATCTACGTAGAAAGTCCTGGTAAATCATTTTTTTCTAGCTCAGATCATGATTTCTAAAGAAAATTAAGAGAGCCGCATGGGATCTGGAGGCCACATCAGTGTAAATGCTGTTGCCTCATCTCCCCAGCCCTCCCTTATTTCTCCACCCCTGAGCATTTGAGTCATCCCTCCTTTCCTTGTTCCTTAGTTTTATCCACTCATTCATGCATCTATGATTCTCTAATACTACTGTGTAGATACTCTTTATTCTGCATTGTTAATTATGCTTTCACAAGGGCCAGTCTGGAACTCCTGTTTTAAAGTGGGAGGTTTCAGAGAGCAGGGGACCTGAATACTGTTTCAATGTTGGAAATAAGGCTCCACTCCTCCTCACGCTCAAATTTTTCTTTAGAAAGGAAAATAAGCATGTCTTAGAGAAAGTGCAACAAGGGAGCTCCTTAGAGGCTGTGATGAAGACCTTCATTGCACATATTTTGGATATGTTGTTAGAACGGTCAGCCCTTGGATAAAAACATCATGCTTGAAAAGGTGGAGGGTCAGTGAAAGAGAGGAAGACTCTGAACAGGATGGATTGACTGTGCTGTTGTTAAATGTCTATTGTATATTGAAGATGGTACAGGATGGGGCATGGTCCAATCTGTTGTTCACAGGGTCACTATAGTCACAGGCAACCTGATGGCACCTAACAACCACCACCACATGTGAGTAAGCGTTGAAAGAGAAAGATGTAGCTCCCTCTACCGCCTGTTTGTCTTACAAGGCCAGTTAAGATCTGCTAAAGCTCAGCTGGCTATTTTTGGTCTATAGTCTTACAAATCTGCATTAAATTTTGTATTTTATCGCATGTGTAATGAGGAAATGCTTGCTTTCTTTTTTTTCCCCCCTAAACACAGAAATTCCCCTCTGAAGGTCTCTCCAGTGTGGTGAGGAATGTGTTTGACTTTGATTCCTACAACAATGACATGAGAGAGGTTTTGATGAACACTTTACACAAACACGGGATACCTATCGGAGCAAAGCCGACCAGTGTGCAGCTGGCAAAGGAGTAAGGCAAACTCACTGTTGTTGATAAACTCCTCTCCTGAACTCTTTTGATTCCTAAATGCTGATACCTGCTAATTCCTACTTCTATACTCAGTTTATGTTAATAAACTGAGTAGATAGGAAATTACTTTCCTCAAATGAGCTATTCAGATCTATTCTGCTATTTACTGGCTGGTTTTCAGATAAATAGCATTGTTTGTAGGCCTGTGAGCTGACAATTCCAATTATTTTGAATGTGTCATGAGTAGCTGTAATATAATCTAATAAAGGGAAATATTTCTTTCTTTAACAGTCTCTGTCCTTTTGTTGAATTCTTTTGGGTCTCATCATTTTCTTATCCATTGTCAAATCTTAGCACAAACAAACAAAAAATCCTAGAACAAAACTAGAAAGGGGCAAGTAGGCGTTCAGTTAATATGTTCTTACTTGTGTCATATTTTTCCCTTTGGTAGTTTATTATTTTCATTATCTTATTACGTTGGATTAGTTTTTAATATGTATTTACAATGGGAAGAACAAATGGGTTTGATTTTCAGGTGGACCAGTCCCCTGCTTTTTATTTTGTAATTATGGCCTACCCATTTAACTTTAACTAAGAACCTTGCAAATACTTTTGATGAGCAGATAATGGACAGATTTTGTCTATAAAATGATTAGATCAATGTAGATTTACCACTATAACTGGAGAAAAAGTTTTATATCTGCAAAAGTTTATGCATGTAATGCTATTTTTTTTACAAAAATAGTCAATTGCCAAAGAATAATAATTACTTTTCATATAAATAACTAATATCATATAGAAGGAATTTCTACCTTTCCTTAGGAAAATTTTGTTAAATTGAACTCATTGATTAATTCAGCAGTTAGTTTACTTAGTTTCCAAGTACAGATATTCTTATTTATTTTTCATTTGGTGTCATTGTAGAAGCTAGTCAGAAAATATATTGGTAAAAAAAAATTGTTAAAGTAACTTGATTTCTTAAAAAGAAACAAATATTTCCCTTATGTGATAAAAAACATGCAGTTCTGTTAAAGTTATCAGTATTTTGGTCTATGTTATTAATGAATAAGTAAATTCTTTTACAAGAGTGAGTTAATGTCAGTTGCTAATATATACATTTTTTTTCTGTATAGCAATATTTAACTGACTAGCATTCCTTAAAGCTATTTTGAAACTAGTTTTGTAATGAAACAGGTGTAGCACATCTTCCGAGGAGTCTGGATTATACAGTTGTTAAGTGCTAGGCTGCTGAATGAATGATTGGTAGTTCAAATCCAGTAGCTGTTCCAAAGGCGAAAATTCCTGATGCTCTGCTCCGGTAAAGATTACATCCTTGGAAACCTTTTGGGGAAATTCTGCTATCCAATAGGGTCACAAGGAATTGGAATCAATTCAATAACAGCGGATTGAGCATACTTTCTAAGTTAAAAAGCTCAACAAATTATCTTTAAAATGCAAATTACTTAAGAGCTCTGGTGGCTTAGTAGTAAGAAATTGCACCACCAATACAAGAGTGCATAGTTCACCTCACCAGCTGCTCTAAAGGAGGAAGATGGGCACTCTCCTTCTGTGCAATTTACTGCCTCTGAAAACCCACTGGAGGGTCAACTATGGGTTGATTCCAGCTCAACAGTACACAACAACAGCATGTAAATGGTATTAGTTTCATTTCCTTAGTATTTTTAATTACCACCAGAAAATTAATATAACTAAAGCTTAAACTTAGTGGAAATAAGATTTGTGATTTAAAAGTAGCCTTTCTTATCATTTTATACAAGTCCTAATAAAAATTAAAATAAGTGTTAGTAAGGTCAATCATAAATGGTGACTTTAAGGGGGAAAAATGCATTGTTTTTAAGGAATAGACACAAAATATTTTAACTACCCGTTACTACCCTTTCTTATGAATTGAAAAAGGCTGAAATTGTTGTTGTTGTGAGTTAATTCTTGCCATGGTGGGTTAAGTCCAAGTCAGTACTTACTTCTAAGTGGAAGCAAAAAAATATATTGAGTCTGGAAACAAGATGGTCACATTTATGCCTAACATAGCACTGGAAATACTAGTTGTCCACCCACTGTGTCCATCTAAAAATAGACATATAGCAGATGTGGAAGAGGAGAGAATTTTCCCATGGAGTGGGGGTGATTGTTGTTAGAGTTCATCAAGTCAAGAATGACCCATAGTGACCCTATGAATGCCAGATCTGACCCCTGACCTCTACTGTGCCATCCTCACAATTTGCACTGCAGTTTGCACAGGCATCCAAAGTTTTCTTTTTTTCCTCATCTGTAAATTGCAATGGCTTTGGCAGATTAAAAGTAGTGATGTCATTGTATTGCTCTTTGATGAAATCCTCAGATATATTCATCCTATATGCTGGTGCAAATGTGCCTTTGGCTGGTTATTTGGCACAAATTCAGCTAAGATATTTTTCCAACAGATATTTGAAGCTCATGAACCAAATTTTACTTTCTTTCTAAGGGTTGACATTTTAATTCAAGCCATTCTATTTTTGCTTGTAGTTCAACCCTCAAAACAAATGAAGGCAAAGGTGGCCCTTGGGAAGCTCACAGTTTCGTTTTGGTCATGTGATTTTGCAATTTACTTTGTTAACTGAATATCTTGATGTTAAAATGGGGGAATTTTATTATTGATAGGATAACCATATACTTTATTTATCATCAAAGGCATATTCAAGAATGAGAAGGGAAGTTATAACGGTGACACTCTGAGATGAAGTATGAGCTCTGGTGGCCAGTGAGTAAGGGGTTGTGCTGCCAGCCCAAAGGCATGTGGTTTGAATCCACCTGGAGAGGAAGCTGGACAGTCTCCTCCCATGTGATTTACAATCTCTGAAAACCCGCGGCGGGGGGTTGGGGGTTCCGCTGTGAGTGGCACGACAACAAGAACACCAGATGGCATAGCACCCTCATAGGTCTCAGTGAAGTCCTTCCTATTCTGTCATCCTCTGCACGTTAAAGCTTAATATTTTTCTTCTTCTTCTTCTTTTTTAATGTAATGCCTGATTTAAGGAGGGCTTTTAATATTCTTCTTATCTGAAAAACAAAGTGAGGGGAAACCCCACACAATTTATGGTAACACTTTACCTCCTGGACAGTACACTGATTGTAATCACATGACTTGTTGTCAGGTGCCGTGCACCAGTTCTGACTCACAGAGGGCCTGTGGACAACAGGAGCATTTGAGGATGTCCAAGTCCCGTGTAATCCTCACAGTCGTCACTGTGTGCAAGCCCATTACTGGATTCACTATCAGTTCTGTTTTTAAGGGCCATCCTGTTTCTCAATGACATTCCTTTAGGTCTTTCTACAGGACTAATTGTTCGTGATGACATGTCTGAAGGAAGAGAGATGAAGTTTTATCATCCTCACTTTTTAAAAAATTCTTTTTACTAATTTTAATGAACATTTACAGAGATTCTGGATTTCCATTCATTCATTGTTGCATTTCCCTTAACAGCAATGTGGTTGCACCTTTAAGACCAATTTCTTTGTTCTTCTATCATTCACGTCTCTTCAGTATTCTTTACCAGCATCGTAAATTCAAAGGCATCAGTTCTTTTTCATGTTTCCTTACTCAGTGTCCCACTTTCCCATGTATAGGAGGAGATGGAAAATGCCATGGTTGGATCAAGTGCAGCTTAGTCTTCAAAGTGACTTCTTTGGGTTTTTTTTAACACTTTAAACACATAGACCTTGAAGACTTTCAATTGCTCCATATGGTCTTCTGACTGGTTTTGGCTCATCTCCTTTACTAGGCCTTTTGCTAACCTGGTCGTTTAAGATTTCACTTGTTCGCTTCTGCAGGTAAGTGGGCTAGTTAAGTAGCTACATCTGCCTTGTATTTCCGTGTCTAAGGGAGAGGAGAAAATCACTTTTATTACATTATATCCTCTTTTCCCTGACTGAAAAATTCTTTCTACAACTGTTAGTTTTTATGTTCTTTAATCCAACCGTAGTACTTTTTATATGGGAACAAAATTGCATTGAGCCTGGAATAAGGTGATCATGTATTTAAGGTGGGGGATGGGAAAAGAATTGGCCCTCCACTTCATACAGCTAAAAAAGAGATATGAGGGAGATGTGCTGGAAGGGCCACTTCCAGACGGGGTGACGATGATACCAGACCAGTGTTTGTACAGTTATCTGCAGCATCTTCTTACACAGATGAAATCAGAACACACTTGGACTGTTAAAGACTGGTGTTGTCCTTTTAAGTAAAATTCTTAGAAGAGAGATACTATCCCTTTCCCTTTTGTTCTGAACACCCCGGCTAGTCACTGTCTCTTGGGTCTCTGCACATTCATTGTAGAAAGGGCCCATCTAACATTATAGGGTGAATTTGACCTGACTTCTTCACAGTCCCAGTGCTAAGCTTGATTGTTTTAGGCTTAGTCTTCCTCTGTGGTTGTTTTACAGTGCCTGGTCCTGCAGTGATGGTAGTTCTTCCTTCTGACCTACAGATGCACTCCCAGATCTTAGGATCTGCAGAGTTCACTAACGAGACCCTCAGACTGCTTTGTCTCTTTCTACTAGTCCTACTTGAAAATACTGACTGGGCCTGTTTTAAATGTCTGATACACAGGAAAGAAGATACCAAAAAGATAGTAAATATAGCCACATAAGGAGGCATACTGGAAACAACTATTTACATTGAGTTAAAAAATGTAAATACCATGTTTCATATGAGGTCTGACTTTAATTCTGTGATATTTGTTTTCTAGAGAAACAATTACTTGAAGCATTTGTGTATGTGTGTGTGTGTGTGTGTGTGTGTGTGTGTGTGCGCGCGCGCACACGCGTGCGTGCACATTTGTGTACTGTTAGTGTTGGAGGCAGAGGTAGGGGGATTTGTATTATAATTTGAACTCTTAGAAACTTGAGCTCATGAGTTTCAAATAAATTATTTGAAAGAATAACAGAGGTTGGGCCAAACACTCGGCGAAAGGCATATCCATTACCTGCCACAGGTGAGTGGA